TCTCCGACTCAGTTGCCTTTTTGTTTCATAATAAATTTTATTTATATAACCCTTTTGCTGATTTTTAAAGTGTTACATAAACAGGACAGGTGAAATATCATGTAAAGCAACCATAAACACATGAAAAGATCTAGGTTTACAATTTATGATTAAAACTTTACTATCTACACAATATACATAGACATAAAATGTAAAAACTTAAATATCTTAGAAACAGTAGCCAATTAGTTGTTTTAAATGTCATATTTGAATTCAGCACATGAAAATACATAATAAATAGCACATTTTATCTCTGAAGCAGATGACTTCTCAAAAATTGTAGACCAGTGTAATAGTCCTATCCTTGAGGAGCCTGGCACTTGAAGGAACTGGAGTGGGGAGAAGATTAACATGCAGTTGTGGTTCCTAGTTCGGTTTCTCTGACAGCAATGATAAAATATTTCCCCATCTACTTTGAAAGACCATCCTCATAGTTTCTTCCTAGTCGCGGGAGAGGCTCATGATGGTAACTTGTTTTCCACCTTATTTCTCCTGTGCCTATGGACCTTGTTGCAATGAACTGTGTTTTACTTCAAGGATGTTTTGAGGAGTGGAAGACTATTCTTGTTTGGACAGCATGGTTTGGTGGTATGTGCCATTACTTAAATGGTGTAGAGGGTTTTGCGGACAGAGGCGGGGGGTGCAGGTTAGTAACTGCATCTGCACCTCTTTAGGCATTCCTTACATTGGAGGACTTTATGCTGATAGAGGTGACCAAGAAGCAGAGAAGGCCCTTTTTTGAAAAGTATAAGGGCAGACCAGACAGATATGCATTCATGGTATTCACCAGAATGGTCCCCTCCCCAGAGTTGCTGCAGGAATTGAAGGGCATTGTAACCTATGCTGGTAGAAACTATAACCAGTACCAAAATACTGCAGTGTTTGTGCCAAATTAGAGTACTTTTTTGCCTATTTTATCTCCCCAGCAATCGTGTACCATGTCTGCTGCAAAATAAATACATTTCTGCAGTGATAGTTCTTAACCGTGAGGGTTAAAAATGTTGCCTGTGCTATGAAATGTACTTCAACTTTACTTATGCTATATAACAATGTTGCCTATGCTTGAATGCCTTAGTCTCTTGAGGTTGGTGAATGACCTCTGACTCTTTTCTTACATTTGTATCTTAATTCCCTCCCAAACTAAAGAGCTGCCGTTTGTATTATCCCCTTGAATACTTTTAGAGGAGAAAGGAGCTAACAATTGAATAATTAAGCTTATTAAGCTTAATTCAACTTTACAGAAACTGCAGTATAGTTTAAATATTACTATGATTCTCATCCTGTACAAGAGAGAAAACACTTCAGGTAATATTCTGGCTTGGAAAGTTCAGTTTGGCTCCCAAGCCATAAAATTAGCCCTTTGGGTTTCCACATTCTTAGAGGGGCTGATTATTAACAGAAAATATTCAGGAATTGAAATAACCATATCCTCTGGTTAAAGTTCAGTTGTGTTTTTATTTTGTTGTAAACCTGGAAAATGTGTAGTCACTGTACATGCTACTGTGAATAGTCAGATGTGATGTTGATTTTTGTTTGTATTTGTGAAATTGTGCTCTAATGGTTCTTTATTTACAGAATTAATTACCAAATTGTGCATTCCTCACAATTCATGTAGTGGGGTTTATTAATAACTCAGTGTACTTTAAAAAAAAAAAAAGTCTGAAATACAGTTCAACTCTTCCACTGTTGATCCTGCTGCACTGCAGTTCTTAAAGTTACTGCACTGCAGTTCTTAAAGTTAATCTTGAAATCAACAGTATGTGACACTATACCAAGTACATTCAATAGTCCGGCAGGTACATTCTGCTGGATATGACTGAAATATTTGGCAAGGGATTAAAGAAGATAATAATCTAGGGTTCTTGTGTGTTCAGTGCTTGATAAAGAAATTGGTCTGTTTTTTTGTTTCTCAGTAAAAGAGGAGAAAACAGAAGAAAGAGACCTGCTTTCAGATTTGCAAGACATCAGTGACAGTGAGAGAAAAACTAGCTCAGCAGAGTCTTCGTCAGGAGGTAATTACACACAATCAAATACACAGAATTTACCCTAGGAAATAATCATATTTGTGCGAAGATCCTTCACAAGTGAGTGCGCCTAGTTACTTGTGTGTTCTCTGCTTATCCCCTGACAGAATCTGGATCTGGTTCAGAGGAAGAGGAGGAGGAATCTAGCAGTGGAGAATCAGAAGAGGAGGAGGAGGAGGAAGAGGAAGAAGAGGAGGAGGAGGAGGAAGAGGAGGAGGAGGAGGAGACAGGAAGCAATTCTGAGGAAGTGTCTGAACAGTCAGCTGGTAAGTGGTAAAACATGACCACAAAAATGCTCACCCAGAGCACTTTTACGCTTACAGCTTTACCTTGTCCACTTTCTCTTTTTCTTGGTCACAGATGGCTAGAAACCTAAAACTTCTGAGGACAAGTAATATATTAGCCTTTCTGTATGAGGGCATAGACAAATTATCAATCTAAGAAGCCAAGATGGACAGTTCTGGAGATATTTTTGTCTTTCTAAGAGCGGTGTTGAAAGCCTCATCATTTGAGTAATTTTAAAACCATGTTGGACACTAGCAAATGTTCTATAGGGAACAGTCTTACACTAGCCTGGGGGTGGATTAGAGAAGTCTCTACCATCTCTTAATTATTTTTGGCTTTAAATTTTATTCGATTTTTTTTCATTTTTAAAAAACAAATGGAAATAATACAAAAGAAATTAACTAAGCAAGTCTAGTAATTGCTATCTGTGTGTCATTAATTAGTAAACAAAAAATGAGCACAACAATGTGGGCCTGACTGCTGGATGTTTTTCTATTAAATCAGTGAAAAGTAACCACCAAATTTTAAAAGGTTTTCTAAGTTATTTGAATTTTTTGTCACCAATAATTTCTAATTTTTTAAGCTAAGCTGATGTCACTGGACGAATTTTCTTCCTTCCTGTGACTGCAACATAACTTCTGACTGCCACTAATCATGGGGCTGTACATTATTTGTTTCAGGTGTCATTGGTTTTCTTGTGGGAGTCATCACAATAGAGCCCTAAATCACAGTCAGTAACACTTTAACTTGCTTGCATATTTGTTTCCAAAACTTCCATTTTAGGGCACAAATAGCAGATATATATGAAATTTCTTCATGCACCACATTTTCACCAACAGTCAAGGGGTTTTAAAACCTATTTTTAAAGCTACATTATAAGCTTATAATGTAAAATTGAAGAAAATAAGCAGAAACAGCAGCCACCAATGTTAGTGTTTCCCTGTTTTGCGGCTCACTTAATGTAGTTCAGCTGTCAGTCAGCGAAACTCTGCCTGCAAAGTGAAACAGAGGTACTGGTTTACTAACGGTAGATCATTGTGAGCAGGACCCAGAAAACTACTGAAATGGCATTACTCCAGTGGTTGCCAAACTTTTGAGGGTTGTGTCCCCCCTTACTCCTGTTCTCATTCTCCCCCCTGAACTGGGAGCAGGGCCGTGACTTGGGAGGGTGGGAATGCGGACAGGAGTAAGGGGGCCAAGGTTGGAGCCACAGCTGCAGGTGAGTCTGGGAGCAGAGCCACAGCTGGGCTGCGGTCGGAGCTGGCAGCTGCACCTGCAGCTGGGTGTGGCTCTGCTCCTAGCCCTGACCCCCAGCCTTGGCCCTGAGCCAAGACTGGAGCTGGGGGCAGGGCCAGGAGCAGAGCTGCAGCTGGGCCTGCAGCTGGGTGCAGAGCTGTGCTGCAGGGCTGCCCAGAGGGGGGGGAAATGGGGCAATTTGCACTGGGCCCTGCAGGAACCCCCACAAGAATATAGTATTCTATAGTATTGCAACTTTCTTTTATGGAAGGGGCCCCAAAATTGCTTTGCCCCAGACCCCCTGAATCCTCTGGGCGGCCCTGCCATGCTGAGGCTGGGAACATGGCCAGGCGTGAGGCCTGGAGCTCTGGCTGGGGGTGGGGCCAGAGCACAGCTAGGGGTGGGACTGGGTGGCGCTCCCTCCCCACCCCAATGGGGGCTGGCCTGGGACTGCTGCACCCCCCTTGATCGTTCCTCTATGCCCCCCTCAGGGGGTGCTCCCCACAGTTTGGGGACCTCTGCATTACTCTATAACACTCGTATTGCTGGGTCACTGTATTAAGCATCTGTGTACATGAAATCAGAATGATATTAAGCTTTTTCTGTTGGACTTCATTCTGTTTTTTAGAAGAGGTGAGTGAAGAAGAAATGAGTGAAGAAGAAGAGCGAGAGAATGGAAATCACATTCCAATTGGTAAGATGCAAACATTGGCTTTAGTTGTAGCAGTTTTTTCCTTTTCTGTTTCATGAACTATGGATTTTAATGCACTGTCTAGAAGGTGAAAGGGTTTCAAGATATTCCAGCCTACCAGGACTTGATTATGAAAAGTAGTAGGCTTATATAAGAAATACTGTTGGTGGGTAGGGGGGAATATTACTACTGCAGGTCTAAGTTGAAATCTTGCAGAAAATAGTATTTTATGAATGAAGTGACCTTGGCTTTTTTAAATCAACTCGCTAGTGGATTTTCATCAGTATTATAATCCACCACACCATTTGGTACTGTGGGTCATCTGGACTCAAGAGTAGAGACACCCTGGATCAGAACGTCCCCAAAGTCTGGGTGAGAGTTCTGATCCAAGGGCTTTTTGTTGGCCTATTGTAAGAGTCAACAGAGGAGTTTGGATCTGGATCTGAATTTACCTAACCTAATGTTCTAGCTGTGATTTTGAATTGGGCCCATCCTCTTGATATTCAGAATTCCTGTATGATATGTATCAGATTAAAGTTGAATCAGTCTTCTTTTGCATTCTTTTCATATACTGGTTTAGTTTTATAACGTGCAATATTTAACCCTGCAAATGTATTCGAGGAACTATAACTGAACCTCATGAAATACTCCCCAAACATAGAAAAAAGAATCATGCTTCTTTAAATACCTTCCTTGTCATCTCTTAACATGACACTCAAATTGCGTGCCATGCTTTTTAGTATCTCAGTTTTATGATCACAATTTTATTCCCTCACTATTTCGTCTAAAACTAATTCAGTCATCCCAAATGGCTGCCTGTTTCCACGACTGATTCTAAATTTTAAAGTTACAGAGTCAAGGTTTGATCGAGATTCAGCAGGAAGTGAAGGAGAAGAGGAGGAAGTGGGGGAGGGGACCCCACATTCCAATGCAATGACAGAAGGAGATTATGTTCCTGATTCTCCAGCTTCATCACCCATTGAGTTGAAACAAGAGCTACCCAAGTACCTTCCTGCACTGCAGGTGAGGATCATTTCACAAGTGCTCCAGAATGTCTTAGATGGGATTTCCATGGATAGTGACATAAAATGATATATGTACTCTCAAGAGCATCTTGAATATAAAACAATATTATGTCATATTGTCCAGTGCATTTGCCCAATGTCAGATCATTTTGTGCATAAACGGTGGCGGGGTCAACCAAAAGCATCTTGTGTCAAGTGAGCCCAGGCATATATTCCATCAACCAAATATTCATATATAATATTTTTTAAAGTTGTGTGTGAAAACAAGTTGAAACTTTTAGTTTTTAATAAGGATATAATTCATTGGGATATTGTGATATTCTGGTGACCCCATCTGAAAATAGCTTCTGCAGGTATAGGCAGGGTTCACAAGTAATATAAATGTTTATTGGAATGGAAAGATGTTCCTATGAGGAGAGATTGAAAAGTTTTTAGTTTATTGAGGAGATGAATAAGCAGGGAATTGAGAAGGTGAGCAAAATAAGTTATTGTTTGTTATCATAGCACGTAGGAACCCTAGTCATGGACCTGAACCCCCAGGTGCTCAGCACTGTACAAGTACAGAAAAAAAAAGACAGTCCTTGCCCCCAAAAGCTTATAAAACAAATAGTTTGTCACTCCTGCTTTTTTTCACATAATAGAAAAGAAATGTTCAATTAAACTGAAAGAGAATACATTTAAAACAGATGAAATGAAATATTTGTACACAACACCTAATTAGCCTGTGGAACTCATTCCCAAGAGATATATCCATCAAGGCAACAGTTTAATAGGATTCAAAAAAAGGACTGAACATTTATATGGATAATGAGACCGTCCACAGGTACATTAGATAGAATAAAAAAGTGTAAGAAATATAAACTCATGCTTCAGGGCATAAACAAAAGCTCCAACTGATTGAGATTCAGGGAAAAACTTCCCCTGTGGACAGTTCTTTACATGGGTTTTTTTGTGTGCGCACCTTTCTCTGTAGCAACTTTTACTGGACACTGCCAGACACAGAATAATGGACTTAGATCGACCTCATCAGATCAGTATTGCAATGTTGTGCGCTAGTGAAGCAACATATGAACTCATATAGATGCAGAATACTGATATACACATAATACATGTGTGTAACTGAGCATTTGATCTAGATAGAGCTATGCATGTTTTACATTTACACGAAAGTTAAATGGGAAGTAATTTGTATATTTAATATGTATATTATGCCACCTTTATTTTAACAAGAGGAAGTATCTAGACCAGTGTTTCTCAGCCTTTTTGATACCGGGGACCGGCTTGCTGCCTTCCTAAACTGTGTCAGGCAGCTCTCCGGGATCAGCGCCGGACTGGTTGTTGAGAAACACTGATCTGGACAGTGAAGACTTATGTGATCCTATCTCTTTTTGCTGTCAATGGCTAGGATCAGCATATGCTTAGGGAATGCGAATGCAGCTTATTGGCCTGCCTAAGAGACATCAGTCTAAGGTGCTGAGCTAGTTTCTCTGCTGCTGAGACTGAAATCCTCATTTCTTCAGTATTGTAGAAATGAATGAGGCTTAGGAGCTATTGACGTGGAGTATTTTAATCTTTTTTTAAACATAATTTTTGTTCCTGAAAGGACACTTTCTTAGAGTACTAGGTAAAAATGCTTTGGAACAAAATATAGTTTTCCTGGGCATAGATCTATTTTGTATTCTTCTGGGATAACAAACTGTTCATATAAAGTCTGCCTTACTATGTCTTATATGTCTTTTAAAAAAGTAAATCCTAGAGACTAAATTTCTGTTTATTTTCTCAGGGATGTCGTAGCGTGGAGGAATTTCAGTGTTTGAACAGGATTGAAGAAGGAACATATGGTGTAGTGTACAGGGCAAAAGACAAAAAAACTGGTTGGTACAAGTGTGCCTGTTTAAAACAGTGCTAAAAATGTTGGTTTCATTAAGTGGTCTCATAATGTTTTCACAACACTTATTAAGCATTAAAGGCAAAGTGTTATGTAATATTGAAAAAACTTAAGTGACCCATCTTAGGGTTACACCTCTTGGTGATCCACAGGGAAGTTGTATGTTTTAGGGATCTGCAGTTTGGAAAAGAAACACCTGTGCTTGAAGTTACTAATTATTTTGAATATTCTCTTGCATGCAACATAATCACTTTGTGCTCTCCCTGTTTTGTACTGTGGGTGCTGAAATTCTTCTGGAGATCTTTTTTCTTCAGAACAATATTAACCTTCTGCACTATGATCAACATGATATTACATTCCAGTGTTAGTGCGTGGACAATTTAAGCATTAAGACGATGGTAACAATATGAATGAAATGTAACAACAGTACTTGTACAGTGGGTGATGCAGTGTACAGCGTTAAACAGAGGGAGTCCAAAGTTGGATGTCATGATGTCATGTTAAGAACTTGTGTTGGCTTGTTAGATATTCTGAGTGCTTGGCATGGGATCTGCACTGAGCTCTGAACTTTGAGGAGGGTGTCATTCAATATAGGAAAATAGTTATTGAGTCTTTTGTGGAAGGTAAATTTGAAGTTAAGTTTGCACAATGTTTATACTTAATGTAATAATACTTTGCATTTCTGTAGTCTTTTATCCCAGGACCTAAAAGTGTTCTAAAAATGTGAAAGAATTAAGCCGTATAATAACTTTGTAAGGAACATAACAGGAAGCCTGCGGTAGAGCTGGAAATATAACCCAGATTTCTTGGCTCTCAGTCCTGATCTTTAACCACAAGACCAATCTATCCCTTCTTGTATCAAGTGTTCTGATATAATGAAGTGGGAGAATAGTTGGATGAGTGTGTGCTTTAACCTACTCTATTCTTGGATTTGATTATGTTAATAATTGTAGAGTTATGGTGTATGGCAAAAGCTTTTCTAAATCCCCCACTAATAAGAAAAGAATGTTAAAAATTATTATTTTTAGTTGCTCTTTTTCATGAGTGACTCCTGCCCCTCAGTGTGGTGTGCATTTGAAATAAGATTCTTTTAAAGATATTCAGTGTCTTTTTATTGGACGTAGTCATGTAGAAATTGTTGACAAGAGTTTGATTTTTAGCCTTATAGGTAGAGATTTTCTGCTTCTGAGCTACTAGATTTAGTTGAGCATAACACGGTGATCTGTCAATTGATTAGATGTAGACACACCAATAGGTATCGTCATAGGTATGGAAAATTATTTAAATGGTTTTATAAAAGAAGTGGTTTGTGTGTGGTGGGCATTCTTTACAGAAATTTGTGGTTAGCTTACTTTTATTGTTTGCTTTGAAGTCCATCTTTAATTCTTGTTTGAAGGCAACTAAAGTTGTTTTAATCAGTAGTTAAAAAGCTCACATACTGAGAAACACTTCTCACCAGGTATAAACTGTGGTGTGTATTTGAAAACTTAAATAAATCCAGGTTTTTGAACTTGCTTCTGGTGGTAGCTGTCTTGCTGAAAAGTTATCCCATTTGATACCAGTAGTGCAAAAGCCAAATGTAAGCTAATTTTCCCCCCCGCTTCCCCTCCCCTCCGCCTTTTTTTAGTGATTTATCAACTGGAAGAAGGATCTAATTTAACATTGTAATAACATATGTAGTGTTAGTACTGCATCACTTCTTCTTTTCATTGTGTATAGCAGCCGACACAGCAAGATGCAAACTGTTTTATCATCTCTGATATGATTCCCCATACTGCTGCTGTCACAAATAATATATCACTTTCCTGCAAGCTGGCTCTTTTCACCAGAAGGCTCATATGTAGATATATTTTAACATGTATATAAATTTTAAATGTATATATCTGATAGATGGTAAAAAACAAACAAACAAACCCTATCATTTGTAAACTTTTGTTGTGTTGAGCAAAACAAGAGCGGTTTGTTAAGAGGAAGTTTGTTCTGATATTTAGATCAAAAGACTTGGAGACAGGACTTATGGTTATTCCCAGTTCTACCACTCACTTGCTGTAACTTAAACTTTCAATTCCTCCATCTACAAGTTTGGGGTAATACCATCCTTACAGGGATAGAGTGAGAATTCATTGGGTTTTTAAGTGTTTTAAAATCCTCTCTGAAAAGGAATTATACAAATGGAAAGCATTATTTTCTTTAAATTCATTCCTTGTGTTATCTAGCTGCGGTGGCCACTTCCTCCTCTAGCCTACATGGCATGTGGCCTTCCTCTGAGGCTGACATTAACATTACTCTCTGAAATGGTTTACAAAAGGAGAGGTGCCATTGACTGCTTGACTGTAAGTGCTCACTCACTTCTGAGTCTATGCAAGTCAACACGACAACATGCCAAAGATATCTTTGATCGCTGTAATTGACATATATAATAAATAGGAGTACTTTAATATCTAATGATTCACATTTTAACTGTTAATTCTGTGTGGCAAGAATATAAAATTAATTCATAAGGGGAAAAATTCACCTCTGCAGGGGCTAGCATAAAGCCTATTCCTCATTTAAATCCTGTATTACTTTTACACTGTGAGCTCTTTGGGACAGAGACTCCCTTTTTTGGTATGTGCTTCACAGTGCTTAGCACAATGGGGTCCTGACCCCTGATTTGAACCCATAAGTGCTAGCACAATGCAGATAATTCACACTAAATATTTTTAGGCTTTAAGTGGTGCTGGCCTTCTTCATAGGGGTGAATTTAACCCAAGATGCATTTTTTTTTCCTTCCAGCAACTGTTGGGAAGTTAAGTCAATGTTTGTATGAGAGGCAAGTCATATAGTACAGTTTGTTTGTTCTCTTTCCACTTGTGTTTTATTGGACTATAATAAAACCTATAATCAGCAATCCTAGAAAATGATATGAGGGAAAAAATTGCTTTGGGTTTTATTTTTATCCATGACCTCAGTCTAGTCCAGTCTTTAACATAAAAGCTAATATAATGCCTGGATAAGGACTTCCATTGAAAAAGATAGTAAAATATTTACTGTGCTGTAAGAAGTGCCCTCTTAACATGTCTTTTATTAGATATTTAATTTTGGTTCTGTATTTAAGATATTATTTTCTTTTTAGATGAAATTGTGGCTCTGAAGCGACTGAAAATGGAAAAGGAAAAAGAAGGCTTTCCCATTACCTCTCTAAGAGAAATAAACACCATTCTGAAAGCACAGCACCCAAATATAGTCACTGTTAGAGTAAGACCACCAATACTTTTATATTAACATCAGTTTTGTTCTTGAAGTGTTACTCTTTGACTGTTAAAATGCCCTCTAATGGTCTAATTTAAGTACTGTATTTGCTCATTAGAGCTTGTTTCTCTCAGTATGCAGTTGTGTGCCTTGTATAATCAAATAGCTCATTTTTGTCTATAAAATCTGTTTAAAACTTATAAAAAATGAACTTGTCTAGAACACTTCAGTGTCATACATTTCCTGTGAATTTTATAAATTTGATGTCCCTTTTTTTCACCTGCTAATACATTCCTGACAGCCATCCTTAACCGCTTATAAATATTGCTTGGTTTCCTTGATAATATGCTGTATTTGTTCTTAGGAAATTGTTGTGGGCAGTAATATGGATAAAATCTATATCGTAATGAATTATGTAGAACATGACCTCAAGAGTCTGATGGAAACCATGAAACAGCCATTTTTACCAGGTACTGTATTTCCCAACCTCCTTTACCTTTCCAAGCTAAAATCATGTGAATTACAAGAACATCAATATAATATGTCCCTGAGTTATACTTGCACATTTTTGGCTTTGCGTGGGACAGAATGTGTCATTAAGGTGGAACTTGTTCTGAAAGCTCTTTGGAACAGGAATGTTTCATTTTTCTACCTGTCTGTCTAGCCTCTCTATTTAGAATCTTAGATTGGTGACCATCACTATAATATATGAGCGTCTCCCAAGTATCTATGGTTTGGATTTGCAAAGAGCCTATGGGGAGTGTGGTACCCAATTCCCATTCAGTTTCAATGGGATTTGGGTAGCCAACTACCTTAGGCTCTTTTGAAAATTCCAGCCTATGTTTGTTTATATATGCAGCCCTCAGCATGATGTAGCCTTGATGATGATCAGGGCCTTTGGGTGCTACTGCAACATATATGATAATGGATGATGAAGCAAATATATAAGCTGATGGGGAAGTTTCCTTGTTTGATTCATTGGGGTTGCAGGTTTACTAGATTTAGTTATTTCACTTCAAATATTAGGTGTCATGGGAAAACTGGAAACACAGGTATTCAAGACTTAACATTCTCTTAACTTTATGCAACAAGATTAGTCCCTGAAAAATGAAATATTTGGGGATTTAACTAATTGTACCCAGAACTGCACCGTATTCCTCCCATCTGAATGTGCTGCAGTGTGAGCTTCCTCAGATGCCCCTGGAAGAATTACTCTGTACCCTTGAAAAGCAATTCCATTGTCTCTGCTAACTTAGGCACATGTTAGCGTTATCTGATTTGTTTGACAGTCACCTAGGCATTGTGAGAAATGCCTGTTCTGCATGGATTGTGCTATAAACACTAAATTGAACACATTTCATTCACTGTCTTGTGCTAAAATTCTGTGGCCAAATCTTGATACCATTTATGTCGTTGAGAGTTTTTGAATTGACTTCAGTGGGATCAGGATTTGGTCCATATTGATAAAGGCCCCTGCTTTTTCCCCGTTAATCCTGTAAACCATGCTAGTTCTTTTTTAATAATTAAATGCATAACTAGTACTTATTTTGGTCATGTATGTTTTGTTCTATGCTCTTGATTTAACGATTTCAAAAAACAGTACTAGTAGACTTCATCTTTGAACTGAACACACAAGGTTCTTTCTTTCATCCTTCCAGGTGAAGTGAAAACTTTGATGATTCAGTTATTACGTGGAGTCAAGCACCTTCATGACAACTGGATACTTCATCGGGACTTGAAGACCTCCAACCTGCTACTGAGTCATAAAGGCATTTTAAAAGTAAGGATCCAGTGTTGCTGTTTTTTTAAAGGCCTTGAACTTCATTGCATGATAGCAGTTAATATCTGGATAGTGTGTTGCATTTCCATTCTTGCAGCTGTAGCATGCAAGAAAACATACTGTTGCAAAATAGAATAAAATTTTCCGTTAGGTACAGAGACTACCCTGTCATGGTTGTAGGATTTATGCTAGGATATGACTAATAAATAAACATGGTTTAGTGGTCAAGGGAAGTACTGTCTAGTTTTTATAGTAACATAACTAGGAGCCAGATCAGGGTTCTTTTCCCATATGTGTTGTTGTCAGATGTTTGGCTGTGTGTGTGTTCTCCCGTGTGCCGACCCAGCTCTGCGCAGACAGCTGGCACAGATGACCTCGCGCGAACTACTCAATAAATCCACAGACTTGGTTCGTAGCGAAGGCACTTGGTCAGGTTTATTGCCAATGAAGCATGGTGCTAATGCCCCAGCTCAATGGTTACAGGTATACTAACACGTTTGCTCGTGACAATGGATTGGCTCAGTTAGTGTTGGGACTTTCCACTATCCCCTAGGCCAGACATTCCCTCTGAGATGCATCTTTAGACAGCAATACAAATAAGTTACGCGTCACCCTCTGATGTATTAGGGCGCTACCCATTGCCTTGTACCTTTTGGTTCGATCAAAACATCTCTATTCATCATGCTGTCATCCTGACCCTATCCTTAAGATTGGTCCACATGTTCATGTTATCTTTGGGGAATGTGGTTATTGGGGTGTTCTGGTACCATCCTTCTGGAATGCGTTTACCTGAGTGTTTTGTGCCTAGCACCTATTAGGAGTATGTGTTTTTAACATATCAGCCCTATGCTTGCCAAATTCTGTGAGCAGGGCCTGTTTCTTGCTCACAACTTGACTTTGCTTCATATCAGCAAGGTTTTAACTACTTTAGCCCAGGCCTCTAATACAAGGCCTTATGTTTCAGGGCCTCTTCTTACTACATGTGTGACCTTAAATAAGTTGTTTAGTCTCAGTCTCTGCCTCAATTTCTCCATCTGTAAAACAGGGATAACACTTTTTTAACTCCCAAGGATACTGTAAGACTTAATACATTAATTGAAAAGTACTTGTATAAGTGCTAAATTGTAGTATTTTTCTTCCTGTTGAAGGAAATAACATTAAAAGGTGAGTGTTCATGCTTGGGGACAGATTATACATTTTTAATTTATTTAAAAAAAAATATTGGAAGGGTATGTAACAAGTAAGTTTTCCTCAGTTTCACAGTTCTAATATCCAGAGGCAAAATTACAAAGTTACTATTATTCAGACACCTTCGGGTATTAATGTAGTGTGCAGCCTATGCTGTTTCTTTTCCTGAAAAAGACACCTCTTTTTCACACTGTATGAAATTTTGCTGTTTGTTATGTGATTGCAATTAGCACCATCTAATATTGATTTTTTTTTTCTGCCATGAAAATTTACCAGCCTAGGGAGAAAATCTACTAGACCTTTGCCATGATGGTCAGTAATGGGAAAAAAAACAAATTATATTTGCCTTACCAGTCAAAGTAAATTACTGTTCTTGGATGAGTGAGCAAGCAAAATTGTACAAGGCTAACTTAAATCTGCTAATTCCTTGCAAATGTAACTATTTTTAAGGGAGTGAGGGTTGAGGAAAATAACTGCACAATGCACGCTCGCATTGTAGATGACACCAGCTTCTACTGTGTGTTTTTTAGTGGATAGTGCTAATGATAATCCATTCTCATTCAGGTTGGAGATTTTGGACTGGCCCGAGAGTATGGGTCACCTCTGAAGCCTTATACACCTGTAGTTGTGACACTATGGTACAGGGCACCAGAGCTGTTACTTGGCGCCAAGGTATGTTTCTTCCTGTCCATTTGTGAACTAAGATGCCAATTATTCTTTATAGCGTCTTGATTTTTTTCCCCTTATTTATTTTGCAGTTGACATACCAAAGTATGCATGGATGATTTTTCGTATTAGATTTAGAGATGGAAAAATGTGGAGCTGAAACCATACTGTAATTGCTAATTCAGTGGAGAAAATTTTACTTGGTTTCCCATAAGCTGAAAAGGTTACAGGTTGATGGGTGTAACTATTCTTCTTTGGAATATTAATCGGAGAGAACTACCAGGGTTTTAATAGGGGATTGGTGGTGGTCGTCCGTGCCATATAGGGAACTGGATTGCTTGATTTTTGGAGATGGGGAGGGGACAGCAGGGGGGGCATCTTACTCCCTTTCTCTACAACGTGTGGAAGCTTGATGCACTGCTTTAAAGAGCAAAGCAAAGCATTTGGAACCACTTTGATCACGATGTCTACCTGCTGCTTAGCTGATCCATACTGCAGTTTTGGAAGAGGCCTTTATGAAACTCTAGCTGGTGGTCTGGTTAGTAGAATGTGGGTTGGGAGAAAAAACACTGCAAGAGTCGGAGAGAATCTATGCTTTGGGTCCAAGACTTTCATCCTATCTTATTAATCAGGCTGTGCAACATGTCCGGCTGTTATAGGTGAAAAGACTACTTTTGTTTAGGAAGAGAGCTCTACTGTTCTGGTCAGATTTTTGTCCCTTAAACTGAGACTATTCTTGGGGCAGAGAGGTCAAAGTAGAACACTGTGCTAATGTATGACAGGGCAGTGGCTAGTACTCCCTCTGCTAGCTGTGATGGGAATGATTCTCAACATGGGATGAGGAAAAAGGGGTGACATTTTCGTGAGTGTCACATTTCAGTATGTGGTGTTTGTGTGTATAATAAGTAATTATTTTATCGTCCATAGCATCTTTTACTTGAGAATATGCATGGTTCACATGCGGTGAAATAATTATAATGTACGGTAACCTAAGTAGTCAAATCATCATTGAGTTGGCTGGCAAATTGTGTCCCGTAAAATAAATCCTCCTGTAATTTGTACATTTTATGTATTTTCAGGAATACTCCACTGCAATAGACATGTGGTCAGTAGGTTGTATATTTGGAGAACTGTTAACTCAGAAACCGCTGTTTCCAGGAAAATCAGAAATTGACCAGATTAACAAAGTTTTTAAGGTAACTGATACTCTTGGAGTCACTGATAATTGTTGTAGCCCAGCACTGCTCTAGAAGGATATAGTAAGCAAATAAACACCCCCTCCCAGCTCTGATATAGATATAATAGAGCCTTCTTGTTGTTCAGCGTATACATGTGGTCAATATGTTCTTAAAGCTTGTGCTTTTATTTTATGTGTTCTCCTGATATTTATCAAATCATATATGGAAAAGGAACAAGAAAGATGCACTGTGGTGTGTATGTCCTTCTGAGATAATATTTTGATTTGCAGGACCTGGGTACCCCCAGTGAGAAAATCTGGCCTGGCTACAATGAGTTGCCTGCTGTAAAGAAGATGACATTCACAGAGTATCCCTATAACAACTTGCGCAAGAGGTTTGGGGCACTCCTTTCTGATCCAGGTTTTGATCTCATGAACAAGTAAGTGTAAATTTCTATTGGAATAGTGGAAGAACCCATTTATTACAGCCCTAGAATTATGGAGAATTTCTATAGTCCTGCATCAAGGCATGGCTTTCTTTTTGGTTAATTTAATTTCTCAGGAAGGTGAGACTGATGCATCTCAAGTCTTGAATTATCAACTCCCTAAATTCTATTCTTGGCCTTCACATAGCTACACCTAGTGAACCTGAATCCTGACGTGTAACACCTGTTGTTACTCCAGTCCTCGGCTCTGCCAGCACAGTGGAGTCCTAAAATATAATGTTTGTTTTCCCAGTAGTGGTTTAGATCATTCATATTGCATTTAATTATCCTGTCCTGTGAGTCTTCCCTCTTGCAGCTTCCTGATGGCCATTGATATCAACAGTGAAGTCATAATGTTACAATTAAACTGGAGGGGGTGGGAAGGACAAGGAAACAGATCTTAGAATTTATTTGAGGAAAGTGGAAAGCTGGGGGAAAAATAGTCATCTGTATTTCGTCAGTTCTGTTAAATCAGCTGTTCTGGTCGTCATAATTAGTTCTACCTGTAGTCTCCAGATCCTCTCTTCCCTGTCTCTCCCCGCTTCTTTTTTTTTTTTAAAGGTATGCTGGCAATGGCTTGAGGGTTTTTTTCTCCAGAAAGTTCTCCTAGATTTCATGCCATGTATACGTACCTGGAAAGGACAGATTCAGGTACCAGGTCCTATGGAAAGTCTGTGTCCATCCTTTGTAAAAGAGGATTTTCAGTCCTCTCAATTTAGCCACTAAACAAGCTAATCAGCTGTTGCTTATTTTTCTTTGGAATGAGTATAACAATATTACTTTGAATCCCTTAAGGGATGCCAAGGGACCAGACAAAAGTCTGTCAGTACAGTGTTGTATTACTAGCAATTAGTTTGGTTAATATGGGTTTATAATAATGGAGATGTCCTATCTCCTAGAACTGAAAGGGACGGACCTTGAAAGGTCATTGAGTCCAGCCCCCTGCCTAGCAGGACCAAGTACTGATTTTGCCCTAGATCCCTAAGTGGCCCCCTCAAGGATTGAACTCACAACCCTGGGTTTAGCAGGCCAATGCTCAAACCACTGAGCTATCCCTCCCCCCAACGATCTTAGAAGAGATCGTTAGTGCAGGCTGCATGTGTGTAGGCCCTGGTCCTGCACAAGTTTAACTTTACACGTATTATTGAAGTCAGAGGGACTAATCTCTCTCTCTGTATCATGGTCATATTCTGCTGAGCTTGGTATATGGCACAATAGAGACAAACCTTTTGTACTGTTAAGTACTTGAAATACTTGACCACAAATCGACTGGTCAGGTTACATTACAGAATTGCGTAAGAGTCATCCTTACTAAAGAGTGAAGCAGCATATAAAATTGTGTTAATTGAACCATTTTAGATCCTTTCTAAGCTATATCTGACTTCTCATTCATCCAGATACTTTTCCTGAGGTGTCTGATGCTCTACAGCTCAACAAATGTATCTTCAAAAAGGATAATTTTTGGCTTTAGTGGTGCTGTGTGTGGATGGTATTGGTACCCCTGAAAAATAATGTAATTTAACTAGCTGATTTTAAGTTCCAGTTTTTATTTACTTTTTTAAATAATCCTTTTTCAAAAAATGGGAATATCTTAAACTGGATGTCTGCATATTTTTTCCCCTTTGAACTAATTTTTCCCCTTTTCTCTGCTTTTTTTTAACCCCATCCCACTCCATCCCTTTGAATAATTTTCAGGTTCTTGACATACTATCCAGGCAGACGAATCACTGCTGAAGATGGTTTGAAGCATGAGTATTTCCGAGAGACTCCCCTTCCTATTGACCCATCCATGTTTCCAACCTGGCCAGCAAAAAGTGAACAACAAAGAGTTAAGCGCGGCACAAGCCCACGACCTCCAGAGGGAGGACTTGGGTATAGTCAATTGGTAAGTTTCCTAAATTGGTAAAGAACCAGATTTTGAGGTAATCCAGCATAGAATCTCCTACTGTCCCTTTTTGTGTCCCCTGGCGCTATTGTTGGGAAAACTGATAGACTGGACTGTATCACCTTACTGGGTTTGAAGTTACTAGACTTACTAGCAAGTTCATTGTTCTTAAAAAATGAAAGTGGCAAGCGTGGTGGCATTTTGATCATGGATGAAGACTGAAGTCCCATGCCTGGTAGATTGCAGGCACCAAGGGGAAACTGCTCTGCTTCCTCCAATATTGGGGCAGGGGGAATAGTCCATAAAAGCTAGATAAAAGTGAGGCTCGTACCCTTTCCGGGCTTCCTATGTTCCTGTTTGCTAAGCTTGACTCGAGAAGCCATAACCATTTGGATCAGCTGCAAAATCTCGTTCATTGTACTCTTCAGACTCCTCATTCGGAGCTACCTTCTCTCCCTTCCCAAGTCCAGTATATATTAGATGATGCATTTTATTGGTTGTGCTCAAGCTATTTTTGATCACCTGTGAACAGACTGACATAAGTTTCTATATCCATAATTTTGAGGGTGTAAAATCTCAAATGGCAGATGTGCCCAAACTGTGTTTGATCAGTTGGCTAATGTGCTGATTTACCAATGCAGATAGTGCAGTCACAATAGTTTTTGTATGCTCAGAGATAAAGGCACTCAAAAACAAGCATTCAAAATAAATTATAATGAAGTCCTTTGGGAAATATAGCCCTGGAGTGTTGATTAAATAACATGAATAAAACTCCACTTAGAGCCCAATGGTGAGGCCATTAAATTTAACATGGTATTTCCTGTATCTTACGAATATTGTGTTCACTTTGTTTTTGTTGTAGTGTTAGAACAGTGAGACATACATTTCTTTCTTATAAACACATGAATTATATATACATTTTCACAGGGTGATGATGATCTGAAAGATACAGGTTTTCACCTGACTACCACAAATCAAGGAGCATCAGCAGCAGGACCTGGCTTCAGCCTCAAGTTTTAAACTTAATATGAGGAGGGAAAAAAGACAGAGCTTTGACTTCAACCATGCTGTTGATGAATGGATTTCAAAGCGCTCCAGTTTTGTTCTTCGCATCAGGAAGACTGTGTTTTACACAGAAATAGCCAGATGTCATCTTGCTGGGTGTGGAATATAACTGCTGCATTTCATTCAGGGGACTGGAATGAATTAATCCGAAAAGCCAAGGATCATTACAAAAATTCAAAAAGGAAAACTTGAAGTACAATCTTGGAACTGTTTTTTTTTTTACTTTTTAATTTTTTTGCTTGTAAATTTGTAGAATTAAAATCCATTTTTAATTGTTTAACAGTGTGAAGGATTTCATTTTCTTCACCTGCACCAGACTTGGATGGTGGTGGCACTAAATCTTCTAGAGAGGAAACGTAGAGAGATTTTTCTCTCTCCTTCATCCCCGTTTGTGCTTATACAAAGTGAAGCATATTGTCAGCACAGGTAGAAAAGCTCTTTTGTAAAGATTATCTGTTTGAATTCAGTTGCTTATTTGAGCAAGAAACCCTAAAGGCATTTCTGAGGCGTCTCTCCTATTCTGTGCCTTGGAGAGAGCCATGTTGTGCTGCGCTTAATACTTACTGACCTTTTTTGAGAGTACTGATGGCCCCAAGTGGTTTCTAATGGATTGACCACTTCACTGTTTGACCTACTGTATGTATAGATTCACAATGGCTGTGGTGCAGAACAAGAACTGCAATATTGTTTTATAAATCAAAAAGATTTAAATCTTTATTTTCTTCTATAGGTTGTCTTGTTAATGTCTCCCCTTTTTCCCCCAAAAGAAAAGGTAGGTGTACTGAATTTACAGTGCTACCTTCCATAGAAATTGTCCTGGAATGTTGTACTCTTACGCGTTTCTAATTTATAACTGAACCGTCCTTTTTAGTGGAGCAGTGAGAAAGGAATACTATAAAAAATTGGACATTCATGCAATTAGAATTAGGCTCCAATCCAGTAAAGTGCTTAATTTGAATTATAGGAGTAGTCCCATTGATTTCAGTGCAACTATTCATGTGCTTAAAGTTAAGCATATTAAGTGCTTTGCTGGATCAGAGCCTTAGCAACAGGATATTTTTATATAGAGAGAGATTAGGGGGAAAATAGAAGTGTGTAAATGGTATAAAATATTTTCTCTTAGGCTTAATTTTCTAATTTGCATTGAATGGGGGTGGGGAGGGGAGGGAGATTTTTAGTCTTGTTACCTGTCTGCTTCTGAAATGTGCTGGATTTTGGCAAGATCGCACTGTATTGGGGGTATGTGGCAGCAGTTAATGTATGGAAAAGCAGGCTCTGTACTACATCTCTCAGGCTGCAGAGCGGGAGAACATTTGGCAGTGACCTGCACAATAGCTGATAAAGGATTAAAAATGTGACTTTAGATTGTGTGTCAAGCTCCCCTGTAAACTTTGCGCATCATAACTTTTGTATTGTTCCCTTGGCAACAGCAGCAATAGCCACTCATGGATATTGCACATGGAAAAGTCTGATTCCCAGTAACGCAGGATTATTTAGAGACTTCAAAGATTTTTTTTTTTAGTAAAACAAACTTAAAGCTGGATTAAGATGGGAATTTGGTCTGGTTTTGAAAAGTGTGTGATTCCAGATGTTCCAGGGGAGGGGAATATTGCTACTTGCCTCTGTGGAACGGCTTTCCAAATGGTCTGCCTCGGCTTCATGTAACAAGCAAAGAAAACACGTACTCTTTTAATTCAAATGTCTGTTTTTCCATATGGAGTGCTTACTGGGTATGATCCTAGTTTGACTTGTCCATACAAAAAAAGATGAATTTTATTTAATATTCCTGTACACTCAAAGTAGGTAAATCAATTTTTTATGATAAAATTGAGTCCTAAGTTTGTTTATTTGTACTAAATACATTTGTAAAAAGAAAAAATGGATTAAAATAATAGTGAAATGCTAATCATGTTTCCCCAGCAGTGACTGATATTTTCTTTTTTTTTAATAGGCCCTACATATACATTTCGGGTCTAACTGGCCAGGTGTTTTCCCTCTTAAAGCTGGGCCTTTAAGATGGGTAAGTTTGTTTTTTAATCTTACTTAAGCTCTGTAAAACTGAAATATGGTGAGAAAATACTTTGAAGACAGTTTGTTCAGGAATGACATTGTAATGTTGAATTGGTTTGAAACCACTCTTTTCAAGCATTTGAATTCAGTCTGGTGTTGTTTCCATAAGCTTTCAACACTGGCTGCTGTGTAGATTCTACTCTGTGAGCATAGAGGAAATAAAAGGACTTTTGTAATGCCTGCACATCTTGCAATGCTGTTAACTAAGTTCACTTTGAGGATAGAGTAATCAAATGTCATAAGAGCACACTTAACTACATTTCTTACCCTGAGAATGTAATTTCACCATGGTGAAGTGTTTTCTGTATCAAAGCTGGGTGATAGGAATGGGAATAGAAAGCTTTTAAATATCTGATTTTCCTATACTGTGCAAAGTTGGGAGGACTGGCACTTGTTTACTCTGAAATATTTCTAAAAAGTGCTTGCTTGTCTTGCTTTTCCAGGAAGATTCTATCAATGACTAGAAAGTTAGTAGGTTTGTCGTCATGGTTAGTTAATGCTGGTGATTTAGAGAGTGGTGCACTGTGCCTACCCCCCTGTATGAATGGCATCTAGGTAGTATGGCAGGGCTGGATGGTTTGCTGGTGTGTAGATCCTCTCCTGTGCTAAGCAAGCCACTTCCTGCATTCCCTCCTCCACCATCCATGTGAGCAACAGCCAGCCTGGCTCTGTGGGAAAACAGCTGAGCAGAAGATTTTAAACAAAATACTCATCTCTCCACAACAAAACCACACAGCTGTTACTCCTTTGGGATCCACTCTCTCAGCACCCCTGTGACATGTCATGGGAGCAGGGGTCTCAATCCCCAATAAAGGCCTGTGGTGCTATTCCCAAGAGTAGTGTCATGGAGGGATGCGTGTTTGTGACACACTAATGAATTCACAACCCTGTTGCGCAGGGGAAACATTATCCACCTCTTACAGATGGGGAGCTGGGGCAGCGAGAGATTGATAAGGCCAAGGGGTGGAGATGATAGATTGAAATCCACACTGAGTGATGGGTGGAAAATTGTAGCTCCTAGTTTCTCTATCAACTATGAGACAAGGCAGGGACTTTTAGCAAAACATTTGATGCAGAAGGGTCTCAAAAAGTGAGATTGAGCTGTAAACTGATGCTGACCCCCTGAGCCTAAAAAGAAACACTTATTTTTTTTCTCTTTTCCCTCCTCAGATCTTTTCTTGTCTCTGTCTGGGTAGATGGAAGTTCACTTTAACCCCACAGCACTGTAAGTAACCTAAGAACATTTTGATGGAATAAAGCTGGTTCTGTAATTTGAGTTTGCTGCAGCTTTAAGATGCCTATTTTATTGACATAACATCACTTGGTTGTTAAATTAATCCTGAAATTTGGGAAAGAACCCTAGTTACAGCAGCAGTTAGTGGGAGTAAATAAACAAAAAAAAACCTTAATCATAAAGCATGATAATTTCCCTGTGCTCCACCAGTCACCTCAGTAGGGGCCAGTGTGTGTCTATCCTCATGCTTAGACTGTTTTAAGTTCTTTAACATTCTATTCCACTCAGCAGCTGGGGGAAATACTGTTCCTGTAATATACTTGGGCACAATGAGATGTGGAATTAGAACAAAGGTATTCCTATCTCCCAGAGCTTGTATATACAGTAGAGTTATAATGCTATAGCTAAGCTATGGATTTAAAGTGAGATTATTATGCCAGTATAAATCCCTCTGGACACTTTCTGGAATAAGCTCAGCTTTTCACAGTTTAGTACATGTCACTTTGGAAAGGGTTTAAACTCAACTTCAAAATAAGTTGTCCACAGGGCAGTTTATATTGGTATAATTGTACCTGTTTGTTTAGCACAAACATCTCTTTCAACACACAACTGCTGGACTTCACTAGATTATCATCCAGCCTTTGAATTAATTGTGATGTCTTGTCTGAGATGCAACTGCCAGGACAGGTATTCAGCTCCCTCCTTGTATAGGCCACTCACTCCCTTCATTCTTAAATTGGTCCTCTTGTTCTTTAGAGTTTATGGCAAGAAAATATATCAGAGCCAGGGATTAGTGTGGGTTTATTTACCATCTTTGTTACCTACAAGAAAGGAATATAAAATATTCACATTTAACTAATAGGGAGTCTTATTTGGCAACTCCAAACATCAATGAGGGCAGGACAATAAATATGATGGGCATTAGAACTATTTTAAAATATGAGTCTTGGAAATGTATGGCCACTGGGAAACTTCTAGGAAAACAGCAATGTCCAAACTGCCCAGGATGGTGGTAGACAACAGCTAGGATAGTAGCTAGCAATGAAGTATGGCAGCGGAGAAAGCAAATGTGAGCTTCTGGGCTGAGTAGTCAGAAATGGTACATCAGAAGCCACCGCTGTAGCCCTAGATAAAAATATGTTAAAATGGAGTGGCAGGTGAGACAAGGGGAACATAGTCCTGCTTTAAGTGTAACTTTCAACTCATCTTAAAGACAGAGGAGTTTTCAGCACCTCCATAATATTACTGATGGCCTTTACCTGACCATCGACAAATTAGAATTCAAAGAACAAAAATAATGATTGTGGGACTTACTTGGGAGGAGACATTGAAACTCCTTCCTTGTGTGTGGGAGACTTGCTTTAGAATTTGCTGAAAGGTGCAAACCCTGAGGAAGAACCAGCTGATCACAGAAAAAACACCTGAAGGGTAAGGTCTATTTGACTGTAGAACAGCCAAGGGCAGTGGTGGAAAGCCTACTTCTTGAGTCATTTAAAACAGGACTGAATAAACTTGTTGCAGGGACTAACCAGGCATTGGCAGGGGTAGTGGACTCCATGAGCTAACAGAATGGGGAGAGGGAAAATCCCTCTGAAAGAAGGTAGTTTGCAAGCAGGGAACACTGCACTACCATTGTGCAGCTAAGAAATAGTTCCTATGTATTGGTGGGGGAAGGAATGTGGTACAAAGATGAACAGGGCCCACACCCTTGACTGGGGTAAAGCAACTTAGCTCTGTTTGACTGCAGTGGAGCTATGTCAAATTTAAACTGGCTACGGCTCTGTCTTCTAGTTGACCTATTACTGTAAATATAGAACTTACAGGGGGTGATTAATATGTAATTAACTTTAGCTCAACTACTGTTTTAATGTATACATCATTGCAAAGTAATTGTTGCTGGCAGGGGTTGTCCCATTACCCATCAGATGTTTACTTGATCCAAGAAACAAAAGCATTTCCGTAATTTATTAACAATGACAGCTGATAAAGACTTGGAGACTACAGACAGAGGTAAACAACACATTGTGATAAATGCAAACCACAGAAAAATGTACAGGGGGGGAAGATGCATTCCTTGGCTATTTTAGTTATATAACATTTGGAATCAGGGAAATTTCCCCTATAAAAAGGAGTTTCTGAAAAAACTCATTCTAGAGTTAGATCCCCCACTCCTTCAGTGCTCGAATAAGAGCATCCATGGAGAATACAGCCAGGGGTCAGTCTTTTGTTTCAAGCCCCTCTGATGCTATATATTGGCATTTTAGAAAGTTCTTTAAATACAAAGAAATGCTTGACAGCAAGACAAACCCTGGAACATTAACCAATCCTTTTTAATCTAATTCCAGGTTCCATTAATACAGTGAAGGATTGGTTAGTTTTTAAATGATCTACAATTACCTGGGTCATCTTGGCTTCAAGATTTTTTTCTCTTTTGCAGCAGCATGTGCTTGATAAATTCATTAATAGTAAACTCTTGGAGGAGAATTTTTCCAGTGATCAGGTCCCAGTGTCCAACTTTCTTGCCCAATCACTGGTAGCAGCTGATTTCTATGGTGGGTTGCTCTGCTGGAGGTTAAACATAAAATGCTGAAGAGGATGGGTTTTTCGTCAAACATAACTAGCAGTAACTGAATCCTCATTCAAGACCCTTGTTAGTGCCTAACCCTAATCCTCCAGGAATAGGTAGTCAGGATTCTTTGCTTTTTCTTCACAATGCAGGTATAGGTTCCTTCGTTAATTGCATTGGCAATAATGCTCATGTGGTCATCATTTAAGGCTAAGTAACCTGGATATGAGTATTCCAGAAGCTCCTTATCTTTATACCAGCTGTCATAAGAAAAATAGTGAACATTAAACACACAGCATAGATCAAAGTGCATTTAAGGGGCTTGTCAGTAATAAGAATTTGTATTGGAGTTCTACCATAGCACAGACAAGACCAACTTGAAATGTAGATTAAACTTCAAAAGCTTCTACCTCCCTATGGACTTAGATGTCTTCTAGTGACAGTTTCAGACATGCCTAACTCCCATCGAAATTGCTAGGAATTAGGCAGCTAAATACCTTTTCAACATCTAAATCACTTGAACTTAGGGACTGGTTAGGGCCAGACCCACAAAGGTAGGTAGGTGCCTCTGACCTTCTCCAAACCACTGCTCAGCTGTTGCTTAAGTTTCCAGTGATAGGCACTTAAGGCCAGATTTTCAAAAGCATCCAAGCAGGTTAGTTACCTGATTCCCATTGAAATCAGTGGGATTTAGGCAGCTAAACTGCTTAGTGCCATTTTCAAAAGTGCCTATCTGCATCTTTAAATACATTTGAAAATGTTAGCCCTAGTTAGTTTTAAAACTGAGTTATAAGTAGGACCCTGTTTGAGTCCTGGTAGTATTTGTGATTTTACCATCATGTTTAAAAAAAAATGCTCTCGCTCGAGCTGTTATGTGAAAGACCCAGACAAACAAGGGAAACAGTGAAAATGACTAGATACAGCCCTGTCATACACATTGTACCCAAGCTGAAAAATAGATTTTTTTCCCCTTCTAATCTTTGTTACTTGCCACAATAGGTTGAAAGAAGTATTTTATAGATTCATTGATTTAAGGCCAGAACGGACCATGATGATGATACGCTGTAACCTCTAGTATAACATAGACCAGAAAATTTCCCTAGGGGTGAGAGTTATTGTTACTACTATTTAAGTGAAGTACAGTCTCTCTTTCACCATAGCTTATTTATCTGATAGTGTCAGACTCTGGGATCTTTAAAAAATTTAAAACCAACAGTACCCATGTGCAACACTAAGAGTTGCATTCTCATAATCAGCAGTAAAGCATAGTAGGGGGGTTAAATTCTACATTGTTTCTTGTGCTCTCCCACCTGTTTTCTCATATCTTATACTTAAATTGTGAGGGGTTGTTGTTGTTCTGCACAGCAGCATCTTGCTCTGTGACAGGGGCTCCTAAACACTACTGCAATACTAATAATAAATGATACATTGTAATTTTAATGGCTATAAAGAGAAGCCTCAAGTCCATGGGTCTCACAGTAAACTGCTACTTTGTAGTGTCACTTCCCTAAGGAAAAGTGTTCTGAACATGCTTTATTCCCGTGAAATCCCTTCTTAGTCAAAGAAAAAACCCATCTCAGAACAATATTTCTAGATGTCTGATATCATTGTTTTGTCTGTAAAATGCAGTGTCCCCCAAATGATTGGAACAGGGGAAGAGCACTTACTAAACTTTGCCTTTTTTATGAATAATCTTCTGTCCACAGCGAAAGGTGACATTTCTGCCTTCAGGAACGATCTTGGTTTTCGTCCTGAGTGGAGGAGGAGTTGGCGCTACAGTTGGAAAAGGGAATTCTGTCCACCAGAAGAAGGGGAGAAAAAAAATACTTAAGTCAGTTTATCCCATTGCAAAGCATTGCTGAAGATAACTATTTCTGAGGAACCACACTGCCTTTTATATTTCCTTTTCTGTATAGTAGTTCTTCAAAGCTTCCTCCTAAATAAGCAAGTATTGGAAAGACATTACTTTATCAATTTCTATATGCAAATAACATCCTCTCAGTGCATTTACATGGCACAAGATGACATTGGCGGGCTTCTTTCTATCAGCACAGCCTTGCCAACACTTGTGATTTTAGTGCAAGTCTCATGATATTTGCTGATTTTGGGGGGAGAGGGGGGAAGGGCAGGGGAGAAGAGGAAGATTTAAAATCCTAGGTCCATACAAGAATCTTTGCAGGGAAACAGTTTACATAAAATATACTCAGTCATGGAAATGCTGTTCTAAGACACGGTTGTTATTAGTCTGAATGGAATTACACAACCCAAGTGCCCTCTTTCCTTTAGTCGAGGCTCACAAATATGTTCCTACTGCATTGTAGCAGGCACGATTGACACCTAATATGCAATTCCAGCACTAACTCCAATGATCCTGTGCTATCCCCTTGGCTTGCATTCTTCAAAGCCAGGGTGTAGTAACTGTGCAATTAATGACATGCTTTTTCCTCTCCGATAAGATGGGGGAATAGACTGAAATTTGTTTAACAAAGCAACTACCAGGTTTCAGATTTCCAAAGGGATGGGTTAGATATAGAGGGACAAGTGCAGAGCTGATGCAGACAGTGCAAGTTAGACCAACCAGCTTTAGCTCACAACTTTCCCACCTCCTGCCACTTTGTCATGTACGTTATGCCACCCAATACCTCGCCTCTGAATTTTGCCCTCAGGAGGATCTGATAGGGGAGGGAAGCAGCACAAGGCACATGAAACAATTCTTATGTATTCACAGACTCTCAAGGCATTGGAATGTTAGATCAGAGAGGAGGAACACTGACCAGGACGGCAGACTTCCATACTCTAGAAAACATGCTCTGGTGTCTTAATGTCCACATCCTGTGGCTGAAATGCAATAGGCAAAGCAGGAGTGTTAGGGGCATCACTCATTGCTGAATTCTTTGGTCTGGAAGAATCTTGTCATTTGTCACTAACATTCAGATAGCTCACACAATTTAACATTGTCCTATCAACTCTTATGACCCTTAACCCTGGAAGAGGAGCTGATACCGTAGCAGAAATCACAGCTGGACGGACAGTGCTTTTTCATCAACTTCCTACGAGTCTCACAGAAACCCTTCCGAGCCCATGATGGACATACGAATAGTCTGTCTGTGCAGCCTGAAATGAAAGGAGACGAAGTATTAAAGAGACAAGTGCCAGTTCTGAATGTGATGTGCAATAAAATGACATGGGATCACATTGCGTAAGTTTGATTTGCTATGGGCAGGAATCAACGTAAAATAAGAACATAAGTGTGCACTTTCCTGTATTTACATTAATTAACAACAGACATGAAGTGAATGAACTAGGCTGGACCGTCAGTGGAACTGTGAATTTGCCCAAGCTGAAAGTCTGATCCCATTGACTTCAATGGAGCTGTGACAGCAGGTTTGGCTCTGACTCACTGTTCCTTAATGTCAGTAAACAACGTGCCAGTCTGGCACAGACAGCTGTGCAGTGCAATGGCATTTTTAGCATTGTCTTGATAAATACTGGTGCCCAAGTTAAGCTAGCTCTCCTGCTGCACCCCAGTTTGGTTTGTGGGTAGGTCTTGCTCTGGTCATGTTGCCTTCCCAATCTGTAAATATGCCTTAGGCCAGGACCTCCAAGAGTCTCATTTTCTGCCTTCCTCCCTGCATGGGCCAGTCTCTTTCCTAAGAAGCTCTAAATTTAGCAGATGTGCAGGTGGCAGTGCAAGCCACAGCTCCTGATCCATACATTGAAGGAACAAGATTTTGGGGAGTTACCTTATAAGGTAATATTTTCTACTTTACTCCTAGAGGCAGTTGCTAACCTTGACCTGGCAGATAACCTTTCCCAGCTGAAACGGATTGAGACTAAAGGGGCCAAGATATGAACAGCCATATAGACTGACCCTAGAAATGGTCACAAATCTAGGCTGGGGCATGCTGGTGGAGCATATGAAGGAACCATGCATGGCATTGCTTCCGCTGTGCTTGTTCTGTGCATTCTGAGGACTTTAGGTTTCAGGCCTGTCAATCTCATACCCATCATAAGCACAGGTTTTTTTTTGCAGATGTGAGGGGAGTGGAACATTTCCTCCACCCCCTCCCATTAGCTTCAGCATGAAATTTACTAACACGTTTCAGGACACTCACACTTTTGCCTTGCCTAGATTCCCTCTGACCTGTTGGGGTAGCATAAGAAGTTAACTTGCTGGCTGCAGCTCAGAGGCTGACTGGGAAAGTACAGAACTTGCTGCCCAAAACTCTTTGCTTGTGACATCAGAGCCCAACCTGGTCAAGTGCAGAGCTCCCATTGAAGCCCCGATAGGTGTCAGGAAATCAGTGCTGCTCAGGAGCAGGTCTTTAGTCTGGTGTTCTTTACACTAACAGCTACAAGAAACCAACCCTTTCCTCTCCTCTCACCGTAGAGTCTGTGAATCCCCCAGACGTCATCCTGGGAGATGGTCTTTTTCCCAGTTAAAGTGGCATTGATGTGCATCAGGGCATTAGAGTTCAGGGAGTGCATGAGTCCCAGGGCATGTCCAATTTCATGAGCTGCTACGTGTACCAGGTCTGTAAGCCAAACACCTGAGAGGAAAAGAACAGCAACAGAAGTTACACCGCATGGTTCTGTTCACTAACCTTAAACAATGGATTCAGCTCAGTCAGGACGCAATTTCAGACTTTGTTCTGACAGTTAGGAATTGTTTTACCTACCCTGGGGATTTGCCCAATTCTATCTCCCGTGCATCAGCAGTGGATATTTCCACCAGCAGCTCTTACCCTGGTTTCATGCACTGTGCAAACAGCAGCTTTGCCTGTCAGAGCTTACATTAGAGCTGCTACACTTGTGGCGGAAATCAGAACAAAACCCCAGCATGACCAGGCCAATGTGTTCCTGGCAACATTCTCCCATGTTATTCCCACAGCATCATGCTCTAACTAGGACATGATCATTTAGGGATGAAACCATTAGCCATTTACACATGTATAAAGCACACTGTTTTGATTGTTCTCCATACACCTGGGAATAAAACTCCTACAGGGCAGGTTACATTTTTGTTGTACTGACCTTAGCATCCCCTTAAGATGTAGAATTGAACTGCAACTTCTTGGTAGTAACTTGTTAGCAGCAAGGACGGATAGATTTTACCAGAAGGATGATTATAATCATCTACCCATAAGACAGGCCAGAGAATCTCACCCAACAATTTCTGCATCAAGTCAATTTGTGGTTGAACTAGAGCAGCTCTCAGAGAAAGCTGGCGTCTTGCAAATTTGCTTAATGCATTAAATGGGAGTCTCTGGAAATGCTTGTTTACCTTTGGTTTTTGGCTATTTCTCAAGGCACCTTCGGATGGTGGATGAGAGAATCTTTCATCCCTGTCTATTGTAATGTTAATTTGCATCTGTGCAGCCAGATATTTCATGTGTCTGAGGAGCACCGTGTGCTTTACAAACATTAGTGAAGTCAGACTTGCAGCATCATCAGTATTGTCATCACTATTTTGCAGGCAAGCAGTTACAGGGACTGGATATTCTCTCGTTCAAACCACTGCAAATCAGAAGCATCTCTACTGAAATCAATGGAGTTACATTGCTGTCAAACCAGTGAGAGTGGAAAATCAGGTCTAGGGCATTTGTGGCAGAATCGGGAACCAAATTCAGGTCTCTTGACTTCCTATCCCAGGCCTTAGCCACAGAACCATCCTTTGTACCCTATGAGACTTGGGAATGAAGATTTTAACCGAATTTTTAACATACACAGCTCTTCTTGTCCTCAGCTAGGAACTTTAGCTCTTCAGTTCTCCTCCTGCTCTGAATCCTTGACAGATGTACCCTGTTCCTCACTTGGTACCCATCATTCCTGACATGGCTAAGAAATTTACTGCGATATCTCGTTTCCTCTAAATAGCTTTTAGGGAGCTTCATGGTTTGTGCTGATATCTTTCTGGACTCTGCCACCTTCTTGGGGGGGCCGGGGGGGAAACGGACGACCCACTCACCCCCTGTAACTACTGCAAACCCAAATGCTGTTAATGTTGTACCGGCAGCTGTTTGCAAAAAAAAAAAGTTACCCGTTGATAAGTATATGGTTTGGTGGCTAGCAGACACCCATAAAATGTGGACATCTGATTTTTATCATCACCATATCACGGCCATGGAATGCATTTAATCTTCAGCTCAGGGTTTGTGTGGGTTTTTGTTCCTCCCCCAATACAAATATGTTAGAGAATCTTGTAACATGACCACACTCACTCCATCTCTCTGTGAATATACATTGACATTCCTGCTTTAAATGCCTTAGTCCCTGGAAGGTGTGTCTGGGGTTTTGTTTTGCTCTAGTTTTTATTTCCTTGTGCTTTAAAATGTTCTTACAAGTCATTTTGGATTATCATTCAAATTCTCTCCCCCCGATGGTTTCATAACCCGGTTGTGTGAGTGTTTATTTGGTTTGTTGTTTCTATAGCTCTGTAAGCAGGTGAGAGGCTTTGCAATGGGTTAAAATAAAAAGTCAAAATAAAACCCCAAAAAATCCTTGTCCCAAAGATGTAAAAAAGCACTTGAAATAATTCTGCAGTGGCAGGGAAAAGGATTAGGGGTGAAATTCATCCCTTGCAAAGGGCCAGCACCAGACCCTGTACATCATTTAATTCCCACCTTACTTTAGCAATAGGATGTAGAATCTTTTGGTTGAAGGCAACAATTCAGATGCACAGTGACTGTAATGAGCTGTAAGCCACTGGACAAGTGTCCACATAAAAAATATATATATATTACCCAGCCTGACTGCAGAGACTGAACTCCCCTCTCCAGAACGGAGCTGAGAGTGGCAGGGAGTTAGGAGAATCTCATGCGGCTGTACTCAGTCTGACTTCCACCTTCAGAAGTGGTCCAAAAACTGCCCAATTTTCAGCCAGACCCTCCCATTTCACACTTGTTAAGCACTCTGATGATGTGTGGCTGCTGTAGGCGTAAGTGGGAATTAGCTGGTGTATAGGTCTGGGCTGGCCAAGCCATACCTTGTCTTTTCCCCCAGCACTGCAGAACTATTTCTAGGGCTTTATCCAGTTTAACTATAAAACATGTGGCAAGTGCTTCCACCACTTCCCATGGGAGATTATTCTAGCCCCGATATTTTCCCTGATAGCAAACCTATATTTTCCCTCTCTTAATTGTATCCCATTACTTCTAGCTGTACTTAGGGCTCGTCCACACTGGCAAAAATTAATCCGAATTACCTAAAATGCTGTAAATTTAAAGTGGATTAGTTAAACCATATTAAATCTGTGTGGACACGCACACATTCAGAATTAAAGCGGCCTTAATTTCAAAGTGAACTAAACCAAACCAAACCAAACCAAACTAAGGTCACTTTAATTCTGAATGAGAGCATACATGCAGGGTTTTAATGTGGTTTAACTAATCCACTTGAGAAGCTAATGCTAATTAAGGCTTGGTCTACCCTGTAGAGTTATATTGGCATAGCTACATTGGTCAGGGGTGTGAAAAAGCCACACACCCCTTGGCAATGTAACCACCAGGTGTAAACACAGCTATGATAATGGAATAAGGCTTTCGTCGACACAGCTGACACTGAGTACGTCTACACTATGGAGACTATCAACCATAGCTATACTGGCATAACCCAATACTGTAGACACAGCCCACACTGATGGATTGGGTTATTCCATCGATATAGGAACACTGCCTCCCTGACTGACAGTAGCTACATTGACAAAAGCGTTCTTCCATCAAAGAACCTCCAGTGTAGATGCAGTTAAATTGGCATAGCTACCTTGGTCAGGGCTCTGAATTTTTCCATATGCCTTATAGCCGTAGCTGTGTTGACTTAAAAGTTCAGCTTTTTGTTCAGGGACACTGTGTTCCTACACCAACAGAAAACCCCCTTCTGTCAGTGTCTACACTATGGGGCTATGCCAGTATAGTCTCTGTAATGTAGATGTACCCTCTTCCCTAAGTGTCCCCATATAGATAAGCCATAAGTAATTCCTCTTCATCCCTGGTGTTCGCAATCTTTCACTTACATGTCAACTGTTTGGTCATGTTATGATCTTTTTTGTGAATTGAAAAGTGTGTGTGTGTGTGTAGTAAATAAATGTCAATTATTTTTAAAGCAACTAGAGT